CCCCAAAACCCCAAAACCCCAAAACCCCATTATGAAGATTAGAAAAGCTAATGAAAAATCAAAAATATTAATGTTATCTGTTCTAATTCGTATATATCATAATCTTTAAAGAATCTTGCTCTATATTCAATCATCTACATTTGGGGGTAAAACTTTTCTGCAAACAGGGCATTCAAGTTTTATCTTCATCCAGCTTTGAAGGCACTTAGCATGAAATTTATGATTGCAGGGTGTTTGCATGTAAGTGCTTGCTCTTACACTTTGCCCATCAATTAATTGCATCGATTCATCAACTTCAAATCTTAGATTATGCATACATACTACACACTCATCATTCAGATAACTAGATTCGGAGAGTGACGCTGACTCAAGATCATCTACGTCTCTAAATCTTTTGATATAATCATATGTATTAGGTCTATATTTTCGTGGAATCATAAATCTTGCTCCTCTACTTCTTTAAAGCACAAGTACAACCAACTATCGAGGATTAGGTAATAATAAATTTGGACTTACTTAAATTGCTATCAAGGTAATGTACATAATCACAAAACCGTAATTTGGCTTTATCTTTAGAAGATTACTTGGGCATCCTCTAATATAGATAGGCATAAATGATACCAATATTTGCTGTGAGAATACGAAGCCTAAGTTTGGGGTATCCTTACTGCAATTTCTAGCATTCTTTATTATCTAAGGAAGCCAAATAAATCCAGATAAAAGCATTGTCAGAGAAGTTGACAAGAGCACCATTTAAAAGAATGATATCATTATGAATGCAAATACATCTAAAAACTTAGTGTTATTTTATCTTACAATATATAACAAAAAACTTCAATAGCTGTTATTTCATTTGTTCTCTCGTATAACCATGATCATAAATATTTAAAGCTCTTAGCATGACAATTATTCTACTTTGGAATACAAAAGCCAATAAGAACAGCCAAAATGCTGGGATAGCGAAATATGAAAACAATGTCTGTAATAATGATTATTGAGTTGAATGATGCTTACCTGAAAATACATTGCTCCAACAAAAAATGATAGTGAATAGCTCATATTCCACATGCATAAAAGACTATAACTTATGATTGATAGTTTCTTAGCATAATTCTCTCTCTAACCCTCCATCTCTCTCTCTTCTAAGCTTTTCGCAACTAATCTCAATTCTAGCAATCCATTGTATATTGCGACCAATGTTAATAAAGTTATTAGTGCTGATAGATGCCAAATTTATACCTCTTTAATCTTCTTTTCCTCAGAAATTTCTGAACTTCCAGTAATATGCAGATGTGTCCCTTCTGGAAAACATGATTTACCGGTCAATCCTGGCAGCTTGATAACCTAATCTTATAAAGCCATGTTTAGACTATGAATCCCCGAAGAATTCCGAGAAATATGTAAAATGGCACCGATTGAACAAACTAGAATAAATTTTGTAAGAAATTAATTAATTTACATTTATTTTGAGTTCTTGAGAAATCTTAATAAACATGCAAGATGCCAAGAGCTTATTAAAGGACCAATGTTGCATTTTACTCTTTTGTATCATTTGCACTAAAAAATTATATTAGCGAATCGACGTCTGCCAAGTAGATCTTAATCATGTTATTTATGTAATGGCCTTCTATCAAAGAAATTTCAATGTAAGAAGTATTCTAATAACTGATTATCACAATGCTTGCTTCTCCACTATTTTTTTAAAATTCCTCACTTATTTAAATGTTATCACTATCAGTTATCAATCCTTCACTTTCTTATTGTTCAAGACTCCAATCTCCTGAGAATATTTACTGGTACCTTTTATTAACTTAATTTTCTTCCATCTATTATTCTGATTATACTGTCTAGGGATCAACCAATAGCTCCTCAAATCTATATATTAGAATTAAAATATGCTATGAAGCAAGTTATAACTTACTTTTGAATAGTCTAATCCTCAGTGATATATTTTTGAATGTCACTTAATTCTACTTATTGTGAAATTTCAAGGCAAAAAGTAATGAGTAGGAAAAACAAGGAAATATTTCCTAAAAAAGGTGACATGTAATTTTATTGCTTTAAATATTATTAATTTCTAATCTGATAAACAAATCTCCTATCATGGGGTTTTGGGGTTTTGGGGTTTTGGGG